TGGCGGCCAGCGGCTCCGACTCCGAGCTCGCGCCCTCCCCCTGCCCCTGCCCCTGCCCCTGCCCACCCTCAGCGGCAGCAGCAGGTACCTTTGCTGTGTGTGCGCAGCGGCGCGTCGCTGTCCCACGAGTCGGCGCGCGCCGCGTGCACGCGCCGCGACGTGGCGGCCAGCGGCTCCGACTCCGAGCTCGCGCCCTCCCCCTGCCCCTGCCCCTGCCCCTGCCCACCCTCAGCGGCAGCAGCAGGTACCTTTGCTGTGTGTGCGCAGCGGCGCGTCGCTGTCCCACGAGTCGGCGCGCGCCGCGTGCACGCGCCGCGACGTGGCGGCCAGCGGCTCCGACTCCGAGCTCGCGCCCTCCCCCTGCCCCTGCCCCTGCCCCTGCCCACCCTCAGCGGCAGCAGCAGGTACCTTTGCTGTGTGTGCGCAGCGGCGCGTCGCTGTCCCACGAGTCGGCGCGCGCCGCGTGCACGCGCCGCGACGTGGCGGCCAGCGGCTCCGACTCCGAGCTCGCGCCCTCCCCCTGCCCCTGCCCCTGCCCCTGCCCACCCTCAGCGGCAGCAGCAGGTACCTTTGCTGTGTGTGCGCAGCGGCGCGTCGCTGTCCCACGAGTCGGCGCGCGCCGCGTGCACGCGCCGCGACGTGGCGGCCAGCGGCTCCGACTCCGAGCTCGCGCCCTCCCCCTGCCCCTGCCCCTGCCCCTGCCCCTGCCCACCCTCAGCGGCAGCAGCAGGTACCTTTGCTGTGTGTGCGCAGCGGCGCGTCGCTGTCCCACGAGTCGGCGCGCGCCGCGTGCACGCGCCGCGACGTGGCGGCCAGCGGCTCCGACTCCGAGCTCGCGCCCTCCCCCTGCCCCTGCCCCTGCCCACCCTCAGCGGCAGCAGCAGGTACCTTTGCTGTGTGTGCGCAGCGGCGCGTCGCTGTCCCACGAGTCGGCGCGCGCCGCGTGCACGCGCCGCGACGTGGCGGCCAGCGGCTCCGACTCCGAGCTCGCGCCCTCCCCCTGCCCCTGCCCCTGCCCCTGCCCACCCTCAGCGGCAGCAGCAGGTACCTTTGCTGTGTGTGCGCAGCGGCGCGTCGCTGTCCCACGAGTCGGCGCGCGCCGCGTGCACGCGCCGCGACGTGGCGGCCAGCGGCTCCGACTCCGAGCTCGCGCCCTCCCCCTGCCCCTGCCCCTGCCCCTGCCCACCCTCAGCGGCAGCAGCAGGTACCTTTGCTGTGTGTGCGCAGCGGCGCGTCGCTGTCCCACGAGTCGGCGCGCGCCGCGTGCACGCGCCGCGACGTGGCGGCCAGCGGCTCCGACTCCGAGCTCGCGCCCTCCCCCTGCCCCTGCCCCTGCCCCTGCCCACCCTCAGCGGCAGCAGCAGGTACCTTTGCTGTGTGTGCGCAGCGGCGCGTCGCTGTCCCACGAGTCGGCGCGCGCCGCGTGCACGCGCCGCGACGTGGCGGCCAGCGGCTCCGACTCCGAGCTCGCGCCCTCCCCCTGCCCCTGCCCCTGCCCCTGCCCACCCTCAGCGGCAGCAGCAGGTACCTTTGCTGTGTGTGCGCAGCGGCGCGTCGCTGTCCCACGAGTCGGCGCGCGCCGCGTGCACGCGCCGCGACGTGGCGGCCAGCGGCTCCGACTCCGAGCTCGCGCCCTCCCCCTGCCCCTGCCCCTGCCCCTGCCCCTGCCCACCCTCAGCGGCAGCAGCAGGTACCTTTGCTGTGTGTGCGCAGCGGCGCGTCGCTGTCCCACGAGTCGGCGCGCGCCGCGTGCACGCGCCGCGACGTGGCGGCCAGCGGCTCCGACTCCGAGCTCGCGCCCTCCCCCTGCCCCTGCCCCTGCCCACCCTCAGCGGCAGCAGCAGGTACCTTTGCTGTGTGTGCGCAGCGGCGCGTCGCTGTCCCACGAGTCGGCGCGCGCCGCGTGCACGCGCCGCGACGTGGCGGCCAGCGGCTCCGACTCCGAGCTCGCGCCCTCCCCCTGCCCCTGCCCCTGCCCCTGCCCACCCTCAGCGGCAGCAGCAGGTACCTTTGCTGTGTGTGCGCAGCGGCGCGTCGCTGTCCCACGAGTCGGCGCGCGCCGCGTGCACGCGCCGCGACGTGGCGGCCAGCGGCTCCGACTCCGAGCTCGCGCCCTCCCCCTGCCCCTGCCCCTGCCCCTGCCCACCCTCAGCGGCAGCAGCAGGTACCTTTGCTGTGTGTGCGCAGCGGCGCGTCGCTGTCCCACGAGTCGGCGCGCGCCGCGTGCACGCGCCGCGACGTGGCGGCCAGCGGCTCCGACTCCGAGCTCGCGCCCTCCCCCTGCCCCTGCCCCTGCCCCTGCCCACCCTCAGCGGCAGCAGCAGGTACCTTTGCTGTGTGTGCGCAGCGGCGCGTCGCTGTCCCACGAGTCGGCGCGCGCCGCGTGCACGCGCCGCGACGTGGCGGCCAGCGGCTCCGACTCCGAGCTCGCGCCCTCCCCCTGCCCCTGCCCCTGCCCCTGCCCACCCTCAGCGGCAGCAGCAGGTACCTTTGCTGTGTGTGCGCAGCGGCGCGTCGCTGTCCCACGAGTCGGCGCGCGCCGCGTGCACGCGCCGCGACGTGGCGGCCAGCGGCTCCGACTCCGAGCTCGCGCCCTCCCCCTGCCCCTGCCCCTGCCCCTGCCCCTGCCCACCCTCAGCGGCAGCAGCAGGTACCTTTGCTGTGTGTGCGCAGCGGCGCGTCGCTGTCCCACGAGTCGGCGCGCGCCGCGTGCACGCGCCGCGACGTGGCGGCCAGCGGCTCCGACTCCGAGCTCGCGCCCCTCCCCCTGCCCCTGCCCCTGCCCACCCTCAGCGGCAGCAGCAGGTACCTTTGCTGTGTGTGCGCAGCGGCGCGTCGCTGTCCCACGAGTCGGCGCGCGCCGCGTGCACGCGCCGCGACGTGGCGGCCAGCGGCTCCGACTCCGAGCTCGCGCCCTCCCCCTGCCCCTGCCCCTGCCCCTGCCCACCCTCAGCGGCAGCAGCAGGTACCTTTGCTGTGTGTGCGCAGCGGCGCGTCGCTGTCCCACGAGTCGGCGCGCGCCGCGTGCACGCGCCGCGACGTGGCGGCCAGCGGCTCCGACTCCGAGCTCGCGCCCTCCCCCTGCCCCTGCCCCTGCCCCTGCCCACCCTCAGCGGCAGCAGCAGGTACCTTTGCTGTGTGTGCGCAGCGGCGCGTCGCTGTCCCACGAGTCGGCGCGCGCCGCGTGCACGCGCCGCGACGTGGCGGCCAGCGGCTCCGACTCCGAGCTCGCGCCCTCCCCCTGCCCCTGCCCCTGCCCCTGCCCACCCTCAGCGGCAGCAGCAGGTACCTTTGCTGTGTGTGCGCAGCGGCGCGTCGCTGTCCCACGAGTCGGCGCGCGCCGCGTGCACGCGCCGCGACGTGGCGGCCAGCGGCTCCGACTCCGAGCTCGCGCCCTCCCCCTGCCCCTGCCCCTGCCCCTGCCCCTGCCCACCCTCAGCGGCAGCAGCAGGTACCTTTGCTGTGTGTGCGCAGCGGCGCGTCGCTGTCCCACGAGTCGGCGCGCGCCGCGTGCACGCGCCGCGACGTGGCGGCCAGCGGCTCCGACTCCGAGCTCGCGCCCTCCCCCTGCCCCTGCCCCTGCCCCTGCCCACCCTCAGCGGCAGCAGCAGGTACCTTTGCTGTGTGTGCGCAGCGGCGCGTCGCTGTCCCACGAGTCGGCGCGCGCCGCGTGCACGCGCCGCGACGTGGCGGCCAGCGGCTCCGACTCCGAGCTCGCGCCCTCCCCCTGCCCCTGCCCCTGCCCCTGCCCCTGCCCACCCTCAGCGGCAGCAGCAGGTACCTTTGCTGTGTGTGCGCAGCGGCGCGTCGCTGTCCCACGAGTCGGCGCGCGCCGCGTGCACGCGCCGCGACGTGGCGGCCAGCGGCTCCGACTCCGAGCTCGCGCCCTCCCCCTGCCCCTGCCCCTGCCCCTGCCCCTGCCCACCCTCAGCGGCAGCAGCAGGTACCTTTGCTGTGTGTGCGCAGCGGCGCGTCGCTGTCCCACGAGTCGGCGCGCGCCGCGTGCACGCGCCGCGACGTGGCGGCCAGCGGCTCCGACTCCGAGCTCGCGCCCTCCCCCTGCCCCTCCACCGCAACCTCCCCCGCACCAGCCTCCCCCTCCGCGATAGATTTTTGCATCTCTGTGTGTGTGGAGAGACTTAATTTAGTTCTATACGGCCAATTTTACATGTTGATTCTTCGAGCCGGATAGTGTTGTTTATTTATTTATTTTTAGTGGTTTATCAGCAAGTAACAAATAACATATTATTATGAGACGTACACAGTATTGAACTGGAATATGATTGTTTACAAATGCAGTTGACGTTTAGATTGCACTTTAGTAAATGTAAGTTGCTTTAGTACTCGTATTATCACTCCAATGTATAAGAACAAAAAAGAAATCTAAAACATTCTATGCTAATCAACTTAATTGTTTTCTTCATTTATTCTTTATCCATTACAGCCTATCAAAAGTTTACTATTAACTATAAGCCTCTCTCATAAATCACCTTTTTAGAGGATATGTACTAATATGTAAATAGTATAGTTTGCCACACTTGGCAGACCAACCGGCAAACGGTTGCGTAAATGCTAAAACTAAACTAAGAAATGTTTATTTCAAGACATACGCAATGTTCTAGACGAGATAAAATAAACAAATTAACGTTGATAGTCCGGCTCGAAGGACTATCAACGTTTTGCGCTGGTTTTCTGTGATAGGTGTTCCTTCCTCGGTCGAGCCGACCCATTCGTGCTACAACTATACTACAATATAGCTGCAGCATGACTTTACCATGTACAAGATTATACTGTAAATAAATTTTATTTAATATACATACTACGCCAGTCATGTTTTAATTGTAATACTCTGTACAAAATGAACTGCCAGGATTAAAAAACCAGTCCCGCAGGCTTTTTTCTCAGGACAAAGGTTTCTTCCGAAGCAATGGTAACACTTAATCAACTCTGAATAAGTATTCTTGAAATTTATTATGAATAAAAATTATTCCACTATCTCTTCAATAATTGCGTGACTGCAAAGTAAGACAACACTGACCATTCCTTGCGGCTCGCGCTGCGCGCCTAGTGCGTCGAGCGGCGCGACGAGTGCGGCGTGCACTGCGAGAGCGAGGCGCGCGGGACGAGCGTGCGGCGGAGCGGCCAGCGGAGCGTGCAGCGGGGCGTTCCCCCGAGCGGCCGCCCGACCGCGAGCCCTCCACACGCGCCCACAGGGCCTCGAACAGCGACGACAGACGCACCGTCATCGAGTATATCTGTTCGAGTTCAAAAATATCGTAAATTGAAAATAGAACACACGCACATCGATGGAATTTACTCTACTCAATAAGCGAACATTGTACCACTCTTAAACCAAGTATTTCAAGCGAACTAGGAGTGATTAAAGGAAATATGAGTGATGTTAATAGCATTGCTAGTTTTATTAAAAACAAAATTAAAACAAGGGATCACGTAACAACGTCACAAGTGAAAGTCAAATATTTTAATTCAAGATTGGATTTTACAAACCACCTTTCGAAAGTCAAATGTCACGCCATCGTTTTAACAAATCCCTCTTGCGTGAAGAACTTGTAAGAAGAAGCGGCGACAAACTCAATAGTAGACTATTTTTGTCCTAATAGTTACTATATATTCTCATAATATATAATATACATACTCTTTTCAATTTTCATCCTGGTAGAGTCATGCTGCAGTTATATTAGTAGTATAATTAAAACACAAATGGGTCGGTTCGATCGGGGAAGGAAAACGCTCTCACGGAATACCAGCGTAAAATAGCAACTTAACGCTGCTGTTTTTCATATGGTGAGCGTAGAGAACCGGAGATCCTTTTTACTGAGATACAGCATCATTTACATCGTCAAATGAGTTTTCACCTCTTTCAATTTTAAATACAAAGAGGTCAGCAAATACTACTTTATCACATAAGTTTTTGCTATACAAAGAAAGATCATCTATATGTATATAAATATTAAAAAGAGTAATGGTCCCAATTATGATCCTTGGGGCACGCCCATAATTAAGAGCTAATTGCTTTTTGCTAATTGCTTCAAAAAGACTCAGTTCCATTAATAACTACTTTTTGCAGCCGGCCAGATAAGTATGACTTTACAAGGTTAACCGGGTTTTTTTAAAGGCATAATTTGTTTAACAGTATATCATGATTTACGCAATCGAACGCCTTAGATAGGTCTCAAAAACACTTACAGCATCCTGTTTACACTCCCAAGATTCAAATATGTGTTTGAGAAGTGCAATGCTTGCGTCAGTAGTACTTTTACCGTAATGACTGCTACAATAGTTAATTTAATGCATATGAAACAGATGATATTCCGTGTTGTGGCGGAGTAAGAATATCCACTACCCAATATTATCCCGTGGGTGTCGTAAGAGGCGACAGATGAGATGGCAGTAGCGCCTTCCTAATAACGACAAAAATATGTAACAGTAACAGTGGTAATAAAACAAAAGAGTGACGGTTCAATAAGTATTATTTATAATCTATATTGAATAAAAAAAGTTTCTATTTCTAAATCAATTAACTGCGGTTGACAACCCGCTTCCAGTAGACTTTAATAGAATGTAACGGTAACTGAGACGGATGATTAATGAGTGTGTGTGTGAGAGAGAGAGAGATAGAACGAGTGTGTGTACTCACTCGCGGATTGTTAATGTGTGTGTGTGAGAGAGATAGGAGTGGTGTGTACTCACTCGGCTGCGCTTGTTGGTGTTGTAGAGGCGGCTGTTGGAGAAGACGAGCCGCACGTCGCGCGCGAACTGCTCCGGCCGCGTGTAGACGCCGCCCGTGAGCCGCGCCCGCACCGTGCCCAGGTCCATCGGGGTCGCCACCACTCGCGCGTAGTCTGTACACACCCGCGGCCATTATTATCCCGTTCCACATTTGATAGAGCCACGCTGCAGCTATATCATGCATGTAGTACGAGTGGGGAAGGACCGCGTTCTCAAAGAATACCAGCATAAAATAGCGGCTTAACGCTGCTGTGTTTCGTACGGTGGGTGTAGAGAACCGGAGATCCCTTTTTACTGGAAACGAGGCATTCCATCTTAGTCTTCAGAGGTGAAAACGCATCTGCATTTTGATTCTTAATCGAAGATAAATGGAGACGTCTATGGGTCACAGCATTCACTTACGACCAGGTGGACAGTGTTCGTTTGTCACACTTGTTTTTTTTTGTTTGTATTTCTATAATAAAACATGGAAATTTATATTGTTTCAATATTCAACGCTCAGCAACATCAGGCCGGTCTCACCGCGTTTCAGGCATGAAAATATACATACGCTATGCGGCGGCCTACGAGAGACTAATTTCGTGAGGTTGTCACGCACGCGCTTCAATTGACGCGCGTCTTAAACCGCGTATCGATTACGCGCTACGTGGAACGCGCTCCAAATATTGCTATCAACTAAGCAGCAGCCAGCCAGCAGCCAGCAGCGTGCCGCACCGCGACACTTGTGGGCTATGCAGGAGGTGCAGGAGTGCAAGAGGTGCAGGAGATGTACGGACCTGGCGCCTGCAGCGGGGACACGGGTCGGCGGAACGGCTGCGCGTCCGCCGACGCGCTCAGTTCCGCCAACAGCGCGCCGCACCGCGACACCCAGCGCGCGCCACCCCCACCACTCGCACCACCACCCGACAGCTTCTGTTGACGTTCACAATTCTACTTTTTAACAAATCAAACTTACCAACTTGAACATCCAAATACTAATTACATACATCTTACATATAACAACTCAAAATAATAAAATAATACCCCCCCCCCCCCATTAAAATATTCATACGGGAGGTCTATAATTCAGCAGGAGAATTTGATAAGTAATAGTAATAATAAACACACAAACCCACCACCTACTGTTATATTCAACGACACATCACCACCACTCGACAACATCTAAACAACAGTTTTGAGGTTTTGAGGTGTTAACTTCTTCAGGCACGTTGGGCACTTGGCATGGATAAAAAACACTGAACTCGCGTGACCGTCTCACTCAAATACATAAAATTGATAAAAGTAATGTCTGAAATCCAATCGATTAAAAAAAAAATTATATACCGGGTGTTAGTGAAATTCTCCCGAATACGAAGACAGACAATAGTGCTAACGATACTTCTGATGATGGCTAAGAAAGAAAGTCGATCCCGAGGGAAAAAATCATCTTTTCACAACTTTTTATTAGCTTTATTCACCGTCAAGTTAGTACAACTAAATGAAATGATAATTTCATAAAAAAAATCATAAAAATACTTAAACACAAAACCGGCAGTGAAACTTCAACTAAAATCAGCTGACAATAGGGTAAGTATTCTCGCGGACGCCAAACTCTTATCTAGCTCGGTGCGAAACAATGCCTACTCATTCTACCCTTCCCTTTCACATACGCGTTACCACCGCCCAGCCGACTCGTGTCGCCTCGCGCTGTGGAATTTACACATGTCAGCTTTGCCAACATGTGGGGAATTCCCAAAATTGCGGGGCATTTAAAGTTAGTTGGGGATTTTATGGGGATTGGTATCATGTGGGGAAAATACGGGGATTTTGAAAATCGATAGCCAGGGCCAAGTCAGAACCTTTTTTCAAGAAATCTAAATACTTATCTCAACATTTTGTTAGGTTACTTATGAATATCGAATATACTCCTCCCCTTTTTTTAATTATCTTCATTGCACCACATTTAATTTTTGGATTTATTTCGGCAACTTTTTTATATCATTTAATGCTTTTCATTTATTTATTTTTTTTATAAAAAAATGTTACTTAAAAGGTATATCTTATAAAATTAGTTGAAAATTGTTTCATTTCTTACAATAAAATTGAGGGGAATTTGTGGGGAATATGTTGAAGATTTGTCCTTAAATTGGAGAATTTGACATGAATTTTCGGGGAATTTGACAAATTGGTGTTGTCAAGGTTGCCATATTGCACCAAAATTAACCTACTTAAATTTGTTTGTCGGCAACATAAGAATTAGAGGCGGCAACCACAATAAAACTTGCAAGTAATTTGTAATAATTTTGACGTACCTCTTCTTAAATTAAAAGTATTGGCCGGATTAAATAAGGAAAGTCAATTAAAATAAAGTAAAAGTATTATTTTTTACATTAATTTCGATAGATTATTAACTGTCGATCATAATTGCAATAGATTTTAACTATTAAATTATTCAGTACCATTTCATTTATATTTTCTTATACAAAATCAAAGATGACGATGAAATAGTGTTTATAATTGTGTAAGTGAGTACTGAGTACCCAATTAGGTACGTCAATTATATGAAAGAACTGCTTGTTGCGTCAGGGTACAATTGATTGTATAATTATATTAAAAATGACAACCATAACTTCTAAATTCCATATGAAGACTAGTCGTAGGGATAATTAAACTTATAAATAAAATAAACGTTGGCAATGTCGTAACGGTTTAACGATCTGTGGAAATGATCAGTGCTTCAAGGACGTTACGACGCACGAGGCATTGTTTTGGCGTGATTGATTATTAATTTTAGTTTTTGAGACAGTTCCGTGTTGACTATCACGTGCGCGTAAGTGACAGTTCAATCGTTTTGTTTATATTGTATTGTTAGGTTTATATTCTTGTTGTTACGTTTTGTGTTTCTTGTTTTGTTTTAATAATGCCTAACGCGTAGGTACGTTTATAGTGCTCGTGAATACGGCAACATGTTAGTGTGCCTTGGAGAATTTCATAAGGCCACGGAGGATTTAGATCGGTAAGCTGTTTCATACCTAATTATTATTAAATAACTTAGTGCTTAACTCATCTGACTAGGTACCTACACGATGGATAAAAAGGCATGACTAACCTTGTTAACATTTCATTTAAGTATTTTTTTCATTAGAGGGAAATCGACCAGGTACTAGGTTTATTTAACCTGTAAATTCGAATTAAAGTGGCTTTTATACGTGGTAGAGCCATGCTGCAGCTACATCAGTAGTATAGTTGTAGCACGAACGGGTCAGCTCGACAGGGGAAGGACCACGACCTCACAGAATACCAGCGTAAAATAGCAGCTTAACACTGCTGTGTTTCGTATTGTGAGTGTAGAGAAGCGGAAACCCATTTTATTGGAAAAGAGGCATTCCATCTTAGTAGTCACGAGTGACGACGCATCTACATTTTGATTCTTTATTGAGGATAAATGTAGATGTCTATAGGTCACAACAACCACTTACTATCAGGTGGACTGTGTGCTCGTTTGTCACCCTATCCTGTAAAAAATAGGTGGAGACAATCACAGTGGCAAAATAGTAGGTTAAGTAGATAAGTCAGGTATTTAGACAAGTGTTGTAAATTATTAGGTATTGTTGTACCATCGCTAGCTGCGGGCCGCGCGAAATCGGCGTCCGCGCGTACATTGACCCCTAGTCAGCTGATTGTAATTCCACTGCTGGTTTTGTTTAAGTATTTTCATGATTTTTTAATGAAATTATCGTTTCATTTAGCTGTACTAACATGATGGAGCGTGAATAAAGCTAATAAAACGTTGTGATAAGATGATTTTTTTCCTCGGGATCGAGTTTCTTTCTGACCCATCATCAAATGTATCGTTAGTACTATCGTCTGTCTTCGTTTTCGGGAGCGTTTCACTAGCACCCAGTATTCAACGACACATCACCACCACTCGACAACGTCTATACAACAGTGTTTTAAAGTGAAAACTTTTTCAGGCACGTTGAGCACTTTTATCATGGGTAAAAAACCCGGAAGTCGCGTCACCGTCTCGCTCAAATACATAAAATTGATAAAATGTTGGAAATCCAATTGATTAAGTTAAAAAAAATTGATACATATTTATCTATTTGTTTATCTTGTATAGATAACAATCATTCTTTTTCATGTAAAACAACGCAATTAATTTAAAAAAAAAATACTATATTAAAACTTGATTAAAAGAACTTCCATACCATCTCGAATGATATCAACTACCCTATATTATCTCGGACGTGTCGTGAAACACAACAGAGAGAAACTAAATTAAAAAAAACGAGCAACAGCATCTTCCATGAGGAAGATGCAGTGGCTTAGCAATAAGTTGTTGCGCTGAGGGCCGCGGGTTCGAATCCCGCACGGAACAAGTATTTGTATGGTCTACAAATAATTGTTCCAGGTCTGGATGTTTGTCCTCGTGCAATTTATGTTTGTAAACTGCCTTCATGATACAGGAGAAAATCCTAATGTGAGGGTAACTTTTTTTATAGAAATAAGAGAAAAACAAAGATAAGAAGTTAAAGAAAAGAAACCAGGAGAGATGTCTAGAATTGAGGTAATCTCACGATACCTTGTGCAATGTGGTGGCGAGCGGCTCATCATCCGAAGAGTGGTAGGAAGCCGCCAGCTCGTGGTACTTCGCCACCACGTCCACATTTTGCCAGTTGCTAAAACCACATACCAAATATTTCATATTCTATTTGAAAAAAGCTGCCGATGGATGGCGGTGTACGAGTGTACATACAATAATTGTACGGAACGCATATTGTGAGAACGTATGCTGTCTCTCCTTAGCAAACATACTTTCAGCTCACATAATTTTTTGTAACTTTATTAATGTACAACAAAACTTTTTATAAACAACATGCGTCTGGTCTGAGTAAATATGTTTTTGAATGCACTGAAGTTAAGTGGCTTTAACGAATTAAGTATCCACAGCACTAATTGAAGGAATAGTAACTGCATACTGTGGTTCTAACATCCTTTTTGGTCTGGTCCTTCGAGCCAGATTTAGACAAGCGACCTATTGATAAAAATGTCCGGTTTTAGGTGGAAGTCGAAATGGTTGTTCACAAGAACAGAGCATCTGCCAAGCAGTTGCTGCATGTTGCTGCTCTGCGGTTGAGGGTACCTGATGATGTACATCAGCAGATCGGTGACGAGTCGCGCCTGGCGCACGATGGGCGAGTGCGGTTTGTTGAAGCGCTCGGCGTTGCTGGCCAGATAGCGGGCGTCAAACTGAGCCGCTGCAGGTCTCCGGTAGAACTGTAACCAACACAACACCTTGTCACCACTCGGAACCACAAATATGTGCGGAATATTGAATAACGGGAAGAAAGAACCTGTGTTCTTCAGGCAAAAAAGGATTACGAAAGAGAAGAGCTTTAGCAATACTTGGGTCAACCATCTGGACGTCGACCAGTCGTCGACCCAAATATACTCTCTTTATACTGATTCTCTCCGATCAGAATTATTCATTTATAAGAAATATACACTGTGTGTAACACTAATAAGTTATTTAAATGTGTTGTAACACTTGTAAAATGTTTAGATTTTGCGTAAAATTGTAAATTTTTTTTTTATAGGATAAGGGAGACAAACGAGCACACAGTCCACCTGATTGTAAGTGGTTGCTGCGGCCCATAGACATCTACATCTATCCTCTATTACAAATCAAAATGTAGATGCGTTGTCACCCGTGAGGACTAAGATGGAATGCCTCATTTCCAGTAAAAAGGGCCTCCGGCCACCTGCACTCACCAAGCGCAACGCAGAGGTAAACCTCTACTTCACGCTGGTTTTCTGTGAGGTCGTGGTACCACCCCGGTTCGAGCCGGCCCATCCGTGCGACAGCAAAAGCTGCCGCGTGGCTCTACGACTGTTTAAACTATGTAAATAGTTTTAAATGGCCTCAGTTTTTTTATTTATTTATATGACATTTAGACTTTATGTAACATTAGTAAAATGTTCAGACTATGTGTAACACTAGATACAAGTGGTGAGTAAATTTTTCATTTATATAAAATTTAGACTATGTGTAACACTAGTTAGATATTTAGACTGTGCGTAACACTAGTAAAATCTTTAGACTGTGCGTAACACTAGTATAATATTTAGGCTATCATCATCATCATCATCATTACAGCCCTTCACAAGTCCACTGCTGAACATAGGCCTCCCCCAAAGAATGCCACAAAGCACGGTCCTGAGCCACCTGCATCCATCGACTTCCTGCATGTCTTACCAGGTCTTCACTCCATTTAGGCTATATGTGACACTAATTACATTTAGTCTGAGTTTTACATTTAAAAGAAATTAAGACTGAGTGTAACACTAGTAAATAATCTAACTATTAAATAATGGCAAACGCTAATCAAAAATATAATAAAAATAACAATACATAACTGTTTCTCTTATGTCATTGTAATCTCGTTTTTGAAAGGAAATATATGTATTTAATTGTAAAAAAAAAAATAAAGTAAACACCTAAGTGTAACATTAAGATGGTGTTTATACAATGTGTAACACTAGTAACATTGAGTCTAACTGTTAACACTCGTAACATGTTTAAACCTTGTCTTACGTTAGAAGATAAATTCACTTAGAGACTACCATAGTCCACTTCTCAACATAGGCCTCCCCTATTGACTGCCTCATGGCGGGGAGACGGATATATGCGATAGTCGCCAAGCTTGGCAACCCCATTTTTTATTATTTTGAAGAATAAGTTATATAATTTATGTAACAGTATTAGCGAGACCGTGTAGTGGTGATAACATATCGACTACTTTAGATCGTTCCATGGGTGTCGTAAGAGGCAATGATGAAGGCTCTTGTTACTCTCCTGGGGTGACCTGGTAATTTGTAACACAGACATTTTATTGTAACCTAACTCAGACGCCAGCTCCTCATATATTTTAGAGCATGAAGATATGATTTTGTTTGGAGAAATTGAACATTATTATATTATTATAACTGTTACAGTCTCTGATAGTCCACTGCTGAACAAAGACCTCCTACATATATTGCCTCATATTTGCGATAGTTGCCACGCTTGGCAACTGCAGTTTTTTTTTAAATTTTTAGTCGTTATTAGGTAAACGCTGCTGCCCATCTCTTGGTTTGTTTCCCCTCTTTTTTATACAATAAGGGTGACAAACGAGCACACAGTCCTGATGGTAAGTGGTTGCTGTGGGCCATAGACATCAACATCTACCTTCGTTTGCGGACTAAGATGGACTCGAGGACGCTTTCTCGCCTTTTCCGATACCTTCGGGACGATATGGGGTGAAGGATATTCTCACACTGCCACAACACAGTAAACACAGTACAGGTCGGAACACCTTTGGGGAAGCCAATCAGGCAAGCGCGTACGACGGGTACAGCTGCAGGTCCACGGGCGCCTTGAACGGCTCGGCGACCGCGAGCGACATCAGCTGGGTCACGTGACGTGGTGTAGTGACGAGTGCAGTAGTGACCCACCCACCAGGTTCTCGAAGCGCGCCCGCACAGTGGACAGGTCGACGGGGTACGCGACGACGAGCGCGTACGACGGGTACAGCTGCAGGTCCACGGGCGCCACGAACGGCTCGGCGACCGCGAGCGACATCAGCTGGGTCACGTGACGTGGTGTAGTGACGAGTGCAGTAGTGACCCACCCACCAGGTTCTCGAAGCGCGCCCGCACAGTGGACAGGTCGACGGGGTACGCGACGACGAGCGCGTACGACGGGTACAGCTGCAGGTCCACGGGCGCCTTGAACGGCTCGGCGACCGCGAGCGACATCAGCTGGGTCACGTGACGTGGTGTAGTGACGAGTGCAGTAGTGACCCACCCACCAGGTTCTCGAAGCGCGCCCGCACAGTGGACAGGTCGACGGGGTACGCGACGACGAGCGCGTACGACGGGTACAGCTGCAGGTCCACGGGCGCCACGAACGGCTCGGCGACCGCGAGCGACATCAGCTGGGTCACGTGACGTGGTGTAGTGACGAGTGCAGTAGTGACCCACCCACCAGGTTCTCGAAGCGCGCCCGCACAGTGGACAGGTCGACGGGGTACGCGACGACGAGCGCGTACGACGGGTACAGCTGCAGGTCCACGGGCGCCACGAACGGCTCGGCGACCGCGAGCGACATCAGCTGGGTCACGTGACGTGGTGTAGTGACGAGTGCAGTAGTGACCCACCCACCAGGTTCTCGAAGCGCGCCCGCACAGTGGACAGGTCGACGGGGTACGCGACGACGAGCGCGTACGACGGGTACAGCTGCAGGTCCACGGGCGCCACGAACGGCTCGGCGACCGCGAGCGACATCAGCTGGGTCACGTGACGTGGTGTAGTGACGAGTGCAGTAGTGACCCACCCACCAGGTTCTCGAAGCGCGCCCGCACAGTGGACAGGTCGACGGGGTACGCGACGACGAGCGCGTACGACGGGTACAGCTGCAGGTCCACGGGCGCCACGAACGGCTCGGCGACCGCGAGCGACATCAGCTGGGTCACGTGACGTGGTGTAGTGACGAGTGCAGTAGTGACCCACCCACCAGGTTCTCGAAGCGCGCCCGCACAGTGGACAGGTCGACGGGGTACGCGACGACGAGCGCGTACGACGGGTACAGCTGCAGGTCCACGGGCGCCACGAACGGCTCGGCGACCGCGGGCGACATCAGCTGGGTCACGTGACGTGGTGTAGTGACGAGTGCAGTAGTGACCCACCCACCAGGTTCTCGAAGCGCGCCCGCACAGTGGACAGGTCGACGGGGTACGCGACGACGAGCGCGTACGACGGGTACAGCTGCAGGTCCACGGGCGCCACGAACGGCTCGGCGACCGCGAGCGACATCAGCTGGGTCACGTGACGTGGTGTAGTGACGAGTGCAGTAGTGACCCACCCACCAGGTTCTCGAAGCGCGCCCGCACAGTGGACAGGTCGACGGGGTACGCGACGACGAGCGCGTACGACGGGTACAGCTGCAGGTCCACGGGCGCCACGAACGGCTCGGCGACCGCGAGCGACATCAGCTGGGTCACGTGACGTGGTGTAGTGACGAGTGCAGTAGTGACCCACCCACCAGGTTCTCGAAGCGCGCCCGCACAGTGGACAGGTCGACGGGGTACGCGACGACGAGCGCGTACGACGGGTACAGCTGCAGGTCCACGGGCGCCACGAACGGCTCGGCGACCGCGGGCGACATCAGCTGGGTCACGTGACGTGGTGTAGTGACGAGTGCAGTAGTGACCCACCCACCAGGTTCTCGAAGCGCGCCCGCACAGTGGACAGGTCGACGGGGTACGCGACGACGAGCGCGTACGACGGGTACAGCTGCAGGTCCACGGGCGCCACGAACGGCTCGGCGACCGCGAGCGACATCAGCTGGGTCACGTGGGACGCGAGTGTGGTGCACGCTCCGGGCTCCCACTCGTGCGTCTCGTCCCGCCGCAGCACCGCCGCCAGCTCGCCCGCCACCACGGGTACTGCGCCACCGGGCTCCTGCGGCAATCTGGACCACAGATATCAAAGACTTTTATGTATACTATTACACGGGCTTTGGAGATTCTAATATATTTAGAGCACTAATTTTTTTTAAACACTAGGAATGCTATTAAAATTTGTAATAACTTAACGGTTGTAGAGCCACGCAGCAGTTTTTGCTGTTAAACGTATGGGCCGGCTCGAGCCGGGTTAGTACCACGACCTCACAGAATACCGGCGTGAAGTGGAAGCTCTGCTTCCGCGTTTCGTCTGGTGAGTGCAGGTGACCGGAGGCCCAATTCCCCCCCCCCCCGCCCCCCCCCATCAACATGGTAGCGGAATTACGTCAAAAACTACTCCAGGAGGGTACCAGTACCCCTGGAGAATCCCTCGCTGAGCATCCACGACCATGCTATTCCACTCCTGAGCGAGGGTGCTCAGGCTGCCCCACGTATTCTGGGGGGGCAAAATTCCGCTCAACACAATAACTGCTCGGGGCAAACTGAGCAACAAGACCAAGGCGACCCCTGCCACGCTATCCGTGAATTTCTGCAACATCAGGGGACTTCACTCGAACCTAAACGCCGTCCACTACCATCTTGAGACGGCGAAGCCGGCCTTGCTCTTTCTGACCGAGACGCAGGTGTCCTCTCCGGCTGATACTTCGTATCTCTCCTACTCGGGGTACAAATTGGAGCACTCCTTTGTGCCTCGGGCTGGAGTTTGCGTGTATGTCAGAGAGGACATCTGTTCTCGACGCCTCGGCAGTCTTGAAGGTTCGGACCTGTCCATCCTTTGGCTACGCGTAGACAGCGACGACCATCCGCGCGTCTACGGGTGCCTCTATAGGTCCCATAGCGGTAATGCCGAAACAGACCGACTCATCGACCACGTCCAAATGGCTACAGATTCCTTGCTACAACAGGTCCCATCCGCAGAGATCGTGATCCTTGGCGATTTTAACGCCCACCACGCCGAATGGCTCGGTTCACGTTTAACCGATCATGCGGGGAGATCTGTTTATGACTTTGCCTTGGTATATGGTCTAACACAACTGGTTACATCGCCTACGCGGATTCCAGATGTGGAGGATCATACACCTTCCCTGTTGGACCTTCTGCTGACCTCTCATCCGGACGGATATCAGGTTTCCGTCGATGCCCCTCTCGGCTCTTCGGACCATTGTTTGATCCGGAGTGTGGTGCCACTCACGCTCCCTTCGCGTTTGCGTTCTGCTGGTTGCCGCCGTGTTTGGCATTACAGGTCGGCGGATTGGGACGGAATGCGGTCCTTCTTTGCATCCTACCCATGGGGGCGGGTTTGCTTCTCGCCGGATGATCCCAGCGCTGTTGCTGACTCTGTCACTGATGTGGTGCTACAGGGAATGGAACTATTTATTTCATCATCTGTGGTACCCATCGGAGGCAGATCTCAGCCTTGGTTTGATCGCTCCTGTAAGACTGTTTTACGCAGTAAACAGGAGTGTTATCAATCCTGGGCTGCGGCTTCGGCGACTCGGGATGTAAACACCAGCATACTTAAAAAGAAGTATAACTTCGCCTCCAGGTCCTTCAAAAGAGTTATTGCCAAGGCAAAGTCAGAGCACATAGGCAGAATTGGCGAGAAACTAGTTCGCCTTCCTTCGGGAACCCGTGCATTCTGGTCTCTCGCCAAGGCTGTCCAAGGGAATTTCTGTAAGCCATCACTACCATCTCTGCACAGGGAGGACGACTCACTGGCCCATGACGCAAAAGAGAAGGCCGACCTTTTAGGCTCCCTTTTTGCGTCCAACTCGACTGTTGATGACGGGGGGAACACACCGCCGACCATCCCGCGGTGTGAGTGCTCCATGCCGGATGTGCGGTTCTCACAGCGCTCGGTTCGCAGAGCACTCCTCTCCCTTGACATCCACAAGTCGAGTGGGCCTGACGGAATCCCCCCAATTGTGCTGAGGACGTGTGCTCCGGAGTTGGCACCGGTTCTAACGCGTCTTTTCCGGTACTCCTACTCCCTAGGCGTAGTCCTGAAATCATGGAAGACAGCTTTTGTCCACCCGATCCCTAAAAAAGGCGACCGCTCAGACCCGTCCAATTACAGGCCTATCGCCATAACCCCCTTGTTCTCCAAAATAATGGAATCCGTTATAAACTGCCCCCTCATGCGGTACCTTGAGGATCACCAGCTGATTAGTGACCACCAGTACGGTTTTCGTCGGGGTCGATCAGCTGGTGATCTTCTGGTCTACTTAAATCATAGATGGGCGGAGGCAGTAGAGTCCAAGGGGGAGGCATTGGCCGTTAGTTTGGACATTGCGAAGGCCTTCGATCGGGTTTGGCACAAAGCGCTTCTTTCGAAGCTCCCTTCCTATGGGCTTCCCGAGAAATTATGCAATTGGATCACCAGCTTTCTTGCAGATCGGAGCATCAAGGTCGTTGTAGACGGTGCATGCTCCGACTACAAGCCTATTAACGCTGGTGTTCCACAAGGCTGCGTGCTATCACCAACGCTGTTTCTTCTGCATATCAATGATATGTTGCAAGCCGGTAGCATTCATTGCTATGCAGATGACAGCACTGGTGATGCTCTATACACCGGCCGTGCCAATATTTCTCGGGAAAACGTCGGAAACGAGTTCCGGAACAAACTTGTGTCTGAAGTCGAGTCTTTGCTGGACAAAGTCTCGGATTGGGGGCGACTAAATCTAGTCCAGTTTAATCCTCAGAAGACACAAGTTTGCGCGTTTACCGCTAAAAAGAACCCCTTTGTCGTATCTCCTCAGTTTCAAGGTACTCCCCTTGTTACCTCAGCCAGTATCGGAATCCTCGGCGTCGACATATCGAGTAACGTGCAGTTTTGTGGTCACTTGGAAGAGAAGGCCAAATTGGCCTCTAAAAAGCTTGGCGTGCTCAGTAGAGCGGGACAGTATTTCATGCCGGCTCAACGTCTGCAACTTTACAAGGCGCAGGTTCGGCCTCACATGGAATACTGTTCCCATATCTGGGCAGGGGCTCCCCAGTGCCAGCTCCTTCCACTTGACCGCATCCAGCGCAGAGCGGCTCGAATCGTCGACGACCGAGTCCTTTCCGATCGGCTCGACTCATTGGCACTGCGAAGAGATGTTGCATCTCTTAGCATTTTCTTTCGCATTTACCATGGGGAGTGCTCTGAGGAATTGTTCGGATTAATCCCAGCCGCCAAATTTCACGAACGCACATCGCGGCAGAACTCCCGATACCATCCACACCATCTGGATGATTGGCGGTCCACCACTGTGCGATTTAGAAGATGTTTTCTTCCTCGCACAACTTCCTTGTGGAATAGTTTACCACCAGCGATTTTTCCGGACCGATACGACTTAGGGACCTTCAAGAAAAGAGCCTACTCCTTTTTAAA